AAGATCTCTCTCTCTCTCTCTCTCTCTCTCTCTCGCATGCCCTAGTTATTCTCTCCATATGTCTTATGCCCAAAATTATCCCCGCACCCCATATTCCCTCCTAGAATTAAAAAAACACACGACTCCTCTCTTTGCCTTAGAGAGAGTCATGCCACCCTCTCTCCCCTCTTACATGTGGCTTCCATTGAAAAAAATAAAAACAGCCTAAGGGGAGATTTGCTGATTTTTAGAGAAGAAGCAAGGTACTACCAGCCTAGAGAAGATACCTACACTCATATTCAACCCTAATTTGTCTCTATAGGGTATCTACAAACCCTAGTTGAGTTTTTGAGCTCTTTGAAACCCTAGAGAAAGAGGTGTTGCTTGTAAAAGCTTCCCATCTCTGAAATTCCAGCAATACCTAAAGGACTAAAAATGCGTCATCAGAATGGGAATCAGGTGTGGGGTGCACCGAGACCTGTGAGGGTAACTCCATGCACCTTCTAGTAAATCTTCTCAGCTGATTTTCAGTTATATTTCTTACTTATCTGTGAATTTCCAGGAACCTATATTGTGCTAAAAATCATAGTCAAAGATTGTCTATTGCTCCAGGATGGTTTTTATTTGTTTTGACATTGAAAGTAAAGATCCTAAGTTGTGTCTAGGGAATTAATTTTCATTTACAGCAATATTTAGTGGCCTTTGTAAGTGAAATTCTGGTATACTGAGTTTTTGGGCTTCAAACCACAAGGTTTTCTCGGGTATCTCAGCGAACTCCTTCCATACACATTGGCAATGCATCCTCAAACATAGGCCTCGAAAACCAAGAAGAGCTAAAAACTGGCAGCCCCCAAACTAAGGTACCATCAAGCTCAATTTTGATGGCTGCCCAATAGGGAATCCCGGCCAAGCAGGGGCAAGCAGGGTTTTCAGAGATCACAATGGCCATATTCTCTTTATTTACTCGGAATATCTTGGCCACCATGACTCACAACATGCTGAAGCTTTGGCTTTGCTCCTTCGTCTAAAATCTTTTAATAGAGGTTGGGGCACACAACTACTGATGGAAGGAGATTTAAAAAATGTTATAGCTTGGGCTAATGGGTCTACGACACCACCGTGGTACCTAGCATCTATTTTTCATGAGATTGCTCATTTATGCAGGGATATGAACGTCTTATGGAGGCATGTTGGAGGACGTCCAACAAGCTCGCGGAGTTGTTAGCGAAAGACGGAGCTAGGAAGACACCTTAGCCTTGCATGAAGCTACATAGCCACTTCATTTTCGGATTTGAGCACCAACCAAATTTTTTGATCTACATAGCCACTTTGTTTTTGGATCTGAGCAGCAACCAAAACTTTTTGATTTTCCTTTTCTTTACACTCTCATTGTACTCTTCCCTGTTAAGGGGCACGGGGCAATTTTATAAGCCCGTTTTGTAACCTCTTATTGAGAGACCCGCTCTCAGGGTCCTCTCATTTTTGACTCTCTTGTAATTCCATTTCAGTAATACAAAGGTTAACACTTAGAAAAAAAAGAAATTCTGGTATACTGAGTAAAAGAAAAGAAAATCTTTAAATTTAATACCTTGAATTCCACATAGCCACTTCTTTCAGATATAAACTCCACCAGTAAATTTCAAGCAATCCTTGACTAAGGCCTTCGGGATTCATGATCATGAACACATTTTAAAAAGGAAAAAATGAACACAAACCCTCAAGCCAGAACTGCCAAACTACAAATCAGACCAAAAATAGACAAAATACAGTCACTTGAGCTAGCCCTAATCCTAAACTCCAACTGACAAACACAGCTTTCCCCCCACACTTCCAACACCCCTTACTTTTATAACCCACCCAAATCCCTAATAGACCATCCATCAAAAGAGCAACCATGCCAACCCCTGATAATTCTAGACAATATTATATATATCTTCAACCCAAACCACCATTTATTATCAGTTTACTGATATTCTCCTCGTTAACAAAGTGAAATTTCATGTTTTCATGGCAATATCTATGAATAAACTCCCCCTCAATTCTTGTAACTTTCTCATCCACCCTTATAGAGATGAAGATTGATAGCCCGGAGCTGAAAATTTCAGGTTGTTCAAACTACTCCTTAGCTAGTTAATTCACAAGTTCAAATGTTGAAAAAATAGCCCGGAGCCTTTGGGAGCATTGCCCAGTGCTTGTAGGGTGGGTAAGGGGGTCACACCACAAATTAGGTGCCTGCCTGAGTAGCCTGTAACAAATTAGGGAGAGAGGGGCAAAAGTGCCCTTTGGGTAGGGCATTTTCCATCTTTTGCCCCTCTTTTCTTTGTTTTAAAACCATAGATGTTGGGATCAGGGGTGGGAACGGTACCGGGATCAGGATCGAGATCGGAAGCGAGGTATCATGAAATGCTAGAAGATCCCTATGGTTGGCAATGCTGTCCATACAATGCATATGTTAGGAATCAAGATCCCCAAATGTTAGGATCGAGATTCCAACCTTTTGCAGACTTTGATCCCGACCTTTAGGGATCTTGATCCCAACTTTTTGGGGATCTTTTTACCAACCTTAAAGTGTACGATAATCTAAGATAATCTTTAAAGTAGATATCTCATTATTGCAAGCATGCAAACAATACTTGTGTTGCTAGTTTGCCATAAACAAAGAATATCATCAGTTTGGTTGTTGTTTAGGTCTTTAAAGTTGGGATCGAAATCCCTAACAACAAGAATCAAGATCCCTATGAGTGGGGTTCAAGATGCCAAAATTTAGAATTCGAGATCCCTAAGAGATCCGTTCCAAGAGCGACAGAATCGAAATCCTAGAAGGGATCGCGTACCAAAGTAGGAGATCCCGGTAACTATGTTAAGACTATGGGGTCATTTTTAACCCCCCAAAACCCTAGTAGAACTGCAAAACTACAAATCAACAAGTGACCATGACACATGAGTTGTCCAAGGCCTAATAACATTCCTGAATTACAACATACAAACACAATATTCCCCCTACACCTCCAACACCCATTATAGCACCCAAATCCCAAATAGAACAATCCAACAAGACAGAGACTATACTTCACGCAACTCTAGACAAAGTATTATTTCCCTTTGACCCAAAATGTCATCCATTTCCAAAGGGGAGTGGTATTAACCACCTAATGAGTTGAACACCCAAACCTATATAACAGGCGTTCCGACTTCCTCGTCATCAATGAAGTCCAATTTCACATGTTCAAAGCCATTTTCCCTACAGACTCCCCCTGAGTTAATAACCTTCTCAGCAAACCTTACAGGTAGGAAGAACATAGAAATAAAGCACACCAATACATTGCTAGTGTCACAGATCAAGAAAGAGTGATTCAACCCAAAGGGGCGGATATCATTCTGCCAAACTACCAGTTGGACTGTCAATGGATCACGGTGGACCAGGATATTAGCTCAAAAGGCTCTCCACATGACATACTAAAGTTGATGAAAAGCATATAACGTCAATCACAGAATTCCAAGAACCATGAGTTAGCTAATTAGGCTTCATTGAAATTTCCACTTGGCCAAAAAAAAATTTGAAAGCATCCCAAAAGAGCGCACTACTTACATATTATAAGGCGTCAATCATACAGAATCACAGCATTTTAGAATAATAATGATAATAACGATGAAGATGATGATTATGAGATGATGATGATTATGATGATAGCAATAGTAGCAGCAGCAGCAGTAGAAATTATAAATCGATAATGATGACAATGATGATGATGATGATGATGATAATGATATTATTATTCATGTTATTATTACTATTGATGTTGTTGCTGCTATTATTATTATTATTGACGTTGTTGTTACTATTATTTTCATTTGCATTCTATTTTTAAATTTAAAGTTTTACACATCCAAATCTCACGCAGCCACCATGTGTCTATATGAGAAATGAAGCCCAGGCCATTTACGGATGCTAAGCACTTCACTGATTTGATAATATGCAGCCTAACTACTGATCCCATGTGTAAAAAGCACATGCACTTATATTCATATAGACTTGAACACAAAAGAATAGCACATTGTAAACATCAAGATTCTGGAAGCCGTACTCACGCGTCAAATTCTCAGTTTCATCATCGAGCTTTCTAGTGTTCAACGATGTGCTGCTTGAAGCGGCTTTGTTAGTACCAGCACTAGCTGAAAGCAACCATTGTCCCTGTTAGAGCTGCTAGCTACCATACGGAACAAAGCCAAACTGAATACTTTTCATGCCATAAGTTTTCCATGCATGTCTTTTGTTATTGGAACTTCTTAAAAGCCAAAGTGATGTTGATTCAACAAAAACCATCGACAACAACTATGATAATGATTTAAACTAAGTACAACATATGGAAAAGATAAACAGTATGTATGCATGAATAGACTTTACAGAATTAGAGATAGAAACTATTATAAAAGAATTACAGATTGACATTATTTTTTGTTTTTCTCTTTGGATATTAATTGATTAGATAGACAATATTATAAGATAAACAATATTTGATTGTACATGAAAAACAAAAAGAAATTCAGTTCAACATCATACCAACCCTAGAATGGTTTTTAGGAAGAAATATTGATTTTTTAACAAAGAGGATCCAAGGTAAAATAAGGAAAAATCAACCATCTAAATATCCTTCCAAGAAACGGTACTAACATCTACCCTAGGACCCCCTAGTGCTCATGAAAATGGATATACAATGCAAACCTCATATAATTTTTTATGATTTCACAGAACAATTAACTAGCCATTTTGGACAGTCAAAGCTACTTTTTTTTTTTTTTTTTTCTTAATTTCTTAATCTCAATGACCAATAAAAAATCCATCGAAGAAAAGAGGAAGATAATAGAAATAGCAAATATAAGCACAAATTTGCCACCCTCACAGAGAGGCCAACCTATACATATAACGCCATAACCGAGCCTTATCATTAAAAGCATACATTGCTGAATACTATGCAATGCCTCTTTAGCATCGCTCAGAAAGAATGATTCACGCCTTCTGCCATTTCGAGGATAGAAAACATCTTTTGAATGGAACAAGATTAACAAATATCTAAAAATACAAACACAAGAAACACTAGAATAAAAACTTGAAAGGCTGCAAGAGAGGGAGCTAAGACATTAAAGTCAAGAAAAAAAACATTTGATAACACTAGCCATACGGAAGGTGCTGAATTAGTATCTGCTAATGGTTCCCAGAAAGAGAGTAATACAAAAGATAAGCATGGTTCTAGGATCATATCTATAGCAAATTTCAATAAAAAGCAACCGCTGAACGGTTTTGATAGGGAACATTTGATTATGGCAGTCACATTAAAATTTAAGTTCTCATAACTATAAAGGTTTTTCTTACTATAATAATTTTCTGCGGCTAATATAAATGGGGGATGAGGAAAAGGAAAACACAACGGAGAAAGTAATGCCAAATTTGAATCCCCACACTCCCAGCCCCATTTGTGTTACCTTACACTGAGTTCACTTCTCTAGAAGTATGACAGAAATCGCTACACAGTGTACAAAAAAGCACTAAGCGGTGCCTAGGTGGCACAGGGGTTGGCTGCTTCGGCACCTGCCTTGCCCCCTGGGCAGTGCCTATATGAACCCAAATTTTGCACAAACTCTCTCCATCCCAACAATTAATCCCAAAAGGAAACAAATTGAAGTTTACAAATTGGAGTTTCACCATAGAAAAGGTTAAATTGAGTAACACTCCAACAAGAAATCCAAACCGTCCATTTTGGAGATATTGAGATCTAGGCCTTTAAGAACTCAGCATCAATATTTTCAATTTTAAAATTTGTTCATGTCATCTACAAAATTTGGGGGAGAAAATTTCCCTTTAGTACCTAAATTTAACCATCTCAAATGGGTGCCCTACATTCATTCTGCTTAAAATGCAACCCACCCACCCCACCCTTCCCAAAAAAAAAAAAATACAAACACACACACACACACACACACAAATGGGTGGTCTGCGCTCATTCTTCTTAAAAGGAAAAGTTCCACAAAGCACACACACACGCACATGTGGGATCATGATTTTATGGGCCGTATGGGAGGAACATTGAGGATCAAACAAATCTCGTTTGGGTGGTCAAGTTCAGGGTGACATATGGAGGAAGCATAGAAAAATCCACAATTTGAAAGTAAATATCAATCCACGTTTCACACAATACATATGACTTTTATATATTTTTTTTGGAAGCTGACCTTTATTAATACATATGACCTCTATTAATCTTCCAAGCAAAACGGAATTCCAAAAAAACTCCCATTAAATTTGACTTCTTCAATTACAATGTTTTTTCAAACTTCAACAAAAAGAAATTCAAGTTTGTTGTTTTTGGACAAGAATTAGGACTTTTAGGAATATCAAGGGGATAGGGCTACCCCCTAATTCAATTGACCACCTACCTAAGGGGAAGATGACCAAAACACCACCTACTGATGGGCATTTTCTACCACTGGGAAGGGTTTGCCTAAGGTGTGTGCCTCGGTTAAGGAGCTACGCACTGGCCTTTCTCAAGGCAAGGCACCTAAGCCCCCTTCCCATATTAGGAATTGAAAGGGCAATGCTCAATAACGCACAGCCCTAAAACGTTGTATACTCGTATCTAATTTCCAGGTAGTAATTTTTCTCAAGCCAAGTAGAAATCTACATGAACAAAAAGCACATACCTTTTAATTTGTATCTATGTAGTAAGAAACAAGACTCGTCTCTTGCCAAAATACTTATCTACCCAAAAGCACTATCAACCACCATCACCCACTTAAATGTCATATCACTTCTAAAGTCATCTACAACACTGCTATTCAATTCCCAAACTCCAGCATTATTCCTTGCTTTTCCATCTCCCATTACATGCATCAGATACTTAGGTTCATCTCCAAGAGCACCATCCTTAGGAACCCAACATCGTCTAGCTCACTTGGCCAAAGCCAATTTCTCATTTAAGAATGGATATGCATTAAAGTTAAGCTTAAGAACACCCTCAAGCGCTACAGAGACTAGAACACTTTGTCAAAGGTCTAGACTCTAGAGAATAGGATCAGCCATCAGATTTAACGCCCACACCAAGTCCTAGGCTCCAAATCAAAAGAAGGCCCATAAAATCATGGCATCTTAAGCCTATACAAAGCCTGAATAAATATAGGCCCCCAATAGTCCATTCCCCCTTCCAGATATTAGAAAAGGTTACCATGACACATCGTCCAAGAGTGCAGCCCGCCTTCATCACAAACAGATGGGGCATCTAAGACGCATGATGCAAGTCAACAAGTCAAGAATCAGTAAGGAAACCCCAGATATCTTCAAAAGGTAATCTAGCATCTTTGCTTGCACAAGGAAATTGGAAAAGGTGGTCTAAAGTTTCCTTTACTTCCAACACATGCAGCAAAAATTGGCAATTTTTTTTTTTTTATAAGTTAATATTGTAACTAGCATATATTCAAAATAATAATAATAATAATAATCGAATACAGACTAAGACTACCCCATAACTGTGCTCTCTTGTTAGGACCTCCTCAAGATGAACAACTCTTCAAGACTTAAACATATAGCTTAGATCTTCAGTCTCTACATCACTCTAACTCGTGCTACATTCTGGTTTTCACATCCATGCAAAGAAGTGTTAAAGATAATTGGCCGGATGGAATCATTTCTTTAAAGGCCTTACGAGCAACAAAATCTAAACCGTATCATCCAGTCCCAATCTATCTTGTCATTCAAATGAGAAACTTAAAATATGAAGATTCCCCGTCCTCAAATTAGCGTTTATATTACATCTATAACTCTTTCAAAAGATTTAACTCTCATCAAGTATCCAAGTAGAGAAGGTGACATAATCAAAGGAAAGTAACAAACAACTGAAGTCAGGAATCAAAGTGCGAAATAGATTAAATGGGAGGGTATCATCCTGAGGAATTTAGAAAGTGGGTGCCCTTTCAAAAAATTAAGACTTCAGGGTAGAGATTATTTCAAGATACCTACAACTTGAAATTAAAACACTCAAAAACCAAGTTCTACCTTGGAATTGTAGATTATCAACAGTTAACACAGCAACGAACAACAACCAAATGCGTTTTGTCTTTTGCACTTTAAAGGAAGAAATTGATACCTTTAACACCCGAACTATTAAAACATCAAATAGATTTAACAAAAAAGGCACAGATTGTAACAGATACGAAAGAAAAGTGAATACCACAAAAAGATAAAAAGATCAAAAGCATGGGCAGATCATAATCCAAAAGAAAAGAAACGCAAACAGAGGAGAACACAATCACAAAGAGTGGAATCCACAAGAATGAGCAAATCAACCAAATATTATATCCACAAAGGATAAAAACGAAGATAATAAAAACCTTATATGCCAAAACCACAACAACAGAGAGACCAGGGTCATAATTGACACTCAAAATGAAAATGATGTCACTAATACCTAATATGTATTAGACGTAAAAGAAGATCAGAATGCAAAACAGAAAAGCAGAAACATATTTGATAAACCTAAATAAATCTCCACAAATCCAAAACCAAGTGGAAACGGACAAGAAAATCAATCGTCCTATATATCATACAATAACTAGTAAGAGCTCACGGTAGAGCTAGGGCTATCAAAGTGAAAAAAAAATACACTAAGCAACAGGATCATTTTAGGCTTTCTTTATTAAGGATATACACAGAAGGTCCCATATATCATATAACGACTAGTAAGAGCTACAGATTGAGCTAGGGCTACAAAGTGAAAGAAAAACAACATACATACAGCAACAGATCATGAGCTAGGGCTACAAAGTGAAAGAAAAACAAAATGCATACAGCAACATATCATTTTAGGCTTTTTTTACCAAGGATATATACAGAAGAGAGAGAGAGAGAGAGAGAGAGAGAGAGAGAGAGAGAAGAGAGAGAGAGAGTACTATTCTTAGTAGTTGGTTACGTACCTCGTCGCCGGACCGGTACGTACGACGAGACGACGTCGTTACGGTACGGTCGTTTCTACTACTTTCTTTACGTTAC